TTCTTCCAATGAGGGGCAATGTGCATTAGTAAAGTGAAATAATTCAAAATTTCACTTCCCTCCATTTCTTTTCTTACCATTTTCCATTCACACCTCTTTTGTTATTAATAACAAAATCCAACAGTATTGTGGTATGCAGATTAATGTTTTGATCCTTAGAGACTATGCAATGCTTCATGGTGTTGTTTTATTTGCTAATATTGAGGTAGCCTGCTTGCGTGAGAAGTCTTTAGGACAATTGGCAGTATTAATACCTTACAGGAAGTTCTTGACTCTTTTTTTTGGTTTATTTGTTAAACCATCGTGGCATTGTTGAATGTATAGCAGTTGCCTATATATCATTGTCCTTGTGGTTGTGAGCATGCTATAATACCGGCTATGAGAAAGAGAACTTCAGTAAATTGATGTGTATTTCCTTAAATTAGATTATGACTTGCACATCATTCTTCTATCTTGAAGTTTTTTGCGGATTTCCTTTGCCTGCTTATTAAATTCATTCTTCCTGCTGCAAGATTCATCATTGAATTGCAAATATGCCAAGGTTCAAGCATTTGCAGAAAAAATAAAATTCAGATCAATCAGTACGTACTTCACAAGGCACTTAATCAACACCTTCTTTTCTTCAATCAACGCCATGCATGCCAACACCTCTGACCATGTCATTTTTGGCCACAACAAATCTGGCCCCATCATTTCAGCCCACATCGCAGGCGGCCCCAATATTTCAGCTGGCATCACAACTGTCTCGATCAGTTCACTCAACATCTCATCCAGCTCCGACGGATCAGCCCACATCGCAGGCGGCTCTAACATTTTAGCCAGCATCACAACCATCTTGATCAGTTCACTCAACATCTCATCAAGCTCCAATGGACCAGGCCGCATCATAATCGGTGCCAGGAGTTTACTTTTCATCAAAGCCATCTCGGTCAGTTTACTCGACATCACATCCGGCTCCAACAGAACAGGACTCATCACAGCCAGTTCCAACAATTCAAACCGCATCTAGAAAGCGTTCTGGGAGCCATTGGACTGTAGAAGCAATAGGTAAATACTTTTGACTATTAGTACACAGCAGTCCCTATTAAGCCACTGTTCTTCTCTCTCACCACTTCATCTGATCTCTTTTTCTTATACAAATTTAGAAGAAAATGTCAAACTCAAAGTGAAAGTCAAGGAAGTGCTAAATTTAATGGGTGAAGAACGTATTGTGGTTGATTTTGATTACTTGGACGAACCATTTTGAGATGCACGCGGCCTACTTTCAGGCTTTTGTGGAATTTTAGTGTGACTGCGCTTTATTTCTAATTCACTATGAGAAATGATCGAGTTTACCTATGTCATACTTCAACTGCATCTTCGATCAAATTATAAAGGTATAAGCTCCATTCTTACAACTATATCACTACTTTTGTTTTTTGGGGAAGGACAACTATATCTTTATTATGCCTTTGAAATTTATATTTGCATGTAATAGATATGCTAACCACTCTTTTATTCTTCAATCCCAAGTTCTTCTTTAAGACAACCGAGTTAGTTACGCGACACCATATTTATAAATTTATTGGAAAGAAATGGGCTGCAAATAAGCTTAACTTGTGGAGTGCATCTGAAGACCCACTTAAAAGTAGATATGAGATTATTGATAATGTGCCGGATGAAATTCCGCGGGATCAATGAATTACTTTTGTTGATTACCAATATAAAGATTCAACAAAGGTACTTATGTAACTGCTTTTACTCGTCTTTGTAATTATATTATTTGTTCTTCTAATTGAGTTTCAATTATAATTTAATAAGGAAATGCATAAAAGAAATGTTGAAAATAGAAAAAAGTACACGATTCCACACACAGGTGGCTCCAAAGCCAACGTTACGAGAAGGGCTGAAATGGTGAGTAAATTAACTTACTATGTAATTATTTCTAAGTAGTAAATAATTTTGATTTGATTTTTTATTTATAGATGGCTTAGACTGGACAAAGTCCCGGACGAGCACAAATATACATTGGTAATCATAAGAATCAAGATGGAGTATATGTAATGAAGAAGCAAAAGAAATATAAGTAAGTTTTTGTGGATTCTTAGCTTATCTCAAGGAACAAATCATAAGGAATAAGGAGCAAGCTGGATAATTGAAGCGAGATAATGCTGGTTTTTGTATCCGAAAATCCGATCATTTAAAATCACAAACGTATCGAAAGACTTATTTCATGACTTATAACTTTGTTGTTCAGGAACTAAAAATTATTTTTTCTATCTAATATTCCTTTTCTGTTTCTATTACCATTAGTATGTCAGTGATTTGCTTTGTGTATACGGCCAATATCGGGAAGTTCGACTTAGGGGCTACTGTGGCTCTCCACGCCCAACGTCGAGAAGCTCGAAGCAGAATGTGAAGTGTGTCCCCGAGGTACGTCCCTCGAGGGAACACATCAAAGGTTCACTATGGTCGATCTCGGAGCAGTACAAATTGATGATCGTCATGGAAAGGCGGGAAAGCTCCCAAGTACACGCGGTTAGAGCTGACCTAGCCTGCAAGAATAGTACAAATCCGTACTAAGCCATTATACAGCTGTACCAATAGCATTTTCTCATTATTATTAGACATATATGTTGGGATTTCCCTCCTTTTATAAAGGGGACCCTTGTTATTTTGTAACACACATGAAGATTGAATACAATAGAGCATTCTCTACTTTTCTTGCCTAAACGTGCTCAACAATTACTCTATAGCTTTAGTGTTCCTCATTCATTGTGTTCATCATTTTTTTAGTTATTGTTCATCATTTCTTCATTTATTGTTCATTATCAACCATTAAAGACTGCCCTCGAGGCCCTCAACCTTGTGACTATACGGGTTTGCTTATCATTTCTTGCTCATTTACACTTAGCATTATTCACCTAATAACTAGTATTAAGATAAATCACGTACTTTTAGAACCAAAAATTTAATATAATTATTAATACCATTTTCAAGATAAACAGTTTGGTGCCCACCGTGGGGCTAAAAATAATAGTGATTATGTTGGTGCTAGTTTTCTGATAACACATGTTACTCTTCACACTTTTTCTTATCAAAGATTCTTTGATTTCAGGCTTAATCATGTCTAGCACACAAAATGCGCCTCTTCAGACAGTGAGGAACTTGGAGAAAACAGCGGCATAGGTGCTCAATGTACCACCTATAAACCCTGAGGGAGTGCCAAACGTGGAGCCAGTTGATATCAGCTTCCACAACGCTCCAAACACGGAAGTAGGCGTAGACCCCATAAGGAATGGGCGCAGGGAAGCCCAGGCTGGAAGTTAAGAAGCACAAGGAATGGAAGAAGGAGGAGTCAGCTTCCAAGTAATATTCGAGATGTTACAAGCTCAGAAAGTCGCCATCACTCAACTTCAAAGTCAGAACAAAACCCCTAATACCGCCGAACCAGCAATCATACAACACGAACCAGTGCTAGAAAGACCCGATGAAAATGGCTCGGGGACTGACCCCTTTATCATGAAAATGCTCGAGGAATTGACGAAAAGAATTGAGTCAGGAGAAAAGAAGATAGAGGCTAACAATAAAAAGGTGAAGACTTATAACTTGAGGGTCGATCAGATCCTAGGCGCACCTCCGATTCTGAAGGGTGTAGATTCAAAGAAGTTCCTGCAGAGACCATTCCCATAAAGTGCGGCTTTGAAGCCCATCCCTAAGAAATTCAGAATGCCCGATTTCCTGAAGTATAACGGGATCACGGACCTCAATGAGCACATTACCTCTTATACTTGTGCTGTAAAAGGGAATGTCTTAAAGGATGACGAGATTGAATCCATCTTGCTGAATTTTTTTTGGAGAAATACTATCAAAGGGAGCCATGATGTGGTATCACAACCTACCCCTAAACTCGATGGATTCATTTTCCATGTTGGCAGATTCTTTTGTGAAGGCGCATTCTGGTGCCATCAAGGTTGCTACAAGGAAGTCCGGCGTTTTCAAGATCAAACAAAGGGAGAACGAGATGTTAAGGGAATTTGTATCTCATTTCCAGATGGAGCGAATGGAATTGCCACCTGTCTCCAATGACTGGGCGGTGCAGGCTTTCACTCAGGGCTTGAAGGAGCAAAGCTCGATAGCTTCGAAGCAGCTAAAGTAGAACTTGGTTGAGTATCCTGCCTTGATGTGGGCAGATGTACACAACATATATCAATCGAAGATCATGGTCGAGGACGACCAATTGGGAGCCCCCTCTGGATCAATATATCTAAGCAGGCTTCTAGCAAAGGAACTAAGGTCTATAAAAAGGGAGTTGAGATCAGGCAAAGAAATGTATCAGCCATACTTTAAAGATCGAAGAGATACTTCAAGGCGGAATTTACTCGAAATGATCGAGGAGTAGATCGAGGCCAAATTCCCGAGGACTGATGAGCAATACCAGGTTTGACAGGAATTCAAGGCCAATAGAGGCACCCCGATTATCGGAATACAACTTCAGTATCGATGTTTCAGGCATTCTATCGGCCATAGGTAGAATCAGGGATACCAGATGGCCAAAGCCCGCACAGTTAGATCCTTCTTGAAGGAACCCTAACTTGATGTGCGAGTACCACGGCATTCACAGTCATATGACCGAGGATTTTAGGCAGCTCCTAGAGGAGGTGGCCCGACTAATCAATAAAGGGCACCTTCGATAATTCCTCAGCAATCGAGCCAAGAACCACTTTCAAGAAAGAGAGGCGAACGGAAAGAATGGATCAGAAGAACCTCAACATATCATTTACATGATCGTTAGAGGAACCGATGTCCCACAAGGACCCATGCTCAAACGAGCTAAACTGTCCATCGCAACAGAAAGGTAGACTTGGAGCCATATACTCGAGGTTGTCCTTACATTTAGAGAAGAAGACATCGAGGCCTTGTCCCAACTACATAATGATGCACTGGTAATTTCTTTTCTTTTGAATAATGTTCAAATTAAACGTGTGCTCGTGGATCCAGGTAGCTCGACCAACATAATCATGTCGAAGGTGGTGGAGCAGCTCGGACTGCTCCATCAGATCATACCCATCACTCGAGTCCTCAAAGGATTCAACATGGCAAGCGAGACAACTAAGGGAGAAATCATCCTCCCAGTCAACGTGTCTGGTACAGTACAAGACACCAAGTTTCAGGTCATCGAAGGTGACATGATGTATAATTCCCTACTTGGAAGGCCATGGATTCACAACATGAGGGCAGTACCATCAACTCTTCATCAGATGATGAAGTTCCCAACAAAAGATGGTATAAAAATGATTTACGGAGAACAACATGCAGCGAAAGAAATGTTCGTGATCAGCGACACGACACCAACATCAACTCTCCCCATCTAGGATGAGTCAGGAAACAGGCCGACCCCCGAGGAACAGGTGGTCTATGATCATTCGAACGAAGATGACGAAGAAGACTTCCTCACTCCTTGTACCTTCGTTGCCCCCGAGGAATCGGATGCAACAAAATCAACGGTCGAAGAACTCGAACAAGCCCTCTTGATCAAGCATCTTCAAGATCGAAAGGTATACTTGGGAACGAGGTTAACCTCCAAACTCAGGAAAAAACTCATCCAATTTCTTATTAACAACATTGATTGCTTTGCTTGGTCCCATTTAGACATGACAAGGATCTCGCCGGAAATAACCACCCATTGACTAAGTGTCAATCCCAAGTTCAAACCGGTGAAGCAAAAAAGGAGGCCTCAGTCCGAGGTAAAACATGCGTTCATCAAAGATGAGGTAACAAAACTCCTCAAAATAGGATCAATTAGGGAGGTAAAATACCCCGAATGGTTGGCTAATATAGTAGTGGTTCCCAAAAAAGGAAATAAGTTAAGAATGTGTGTAGATTATAAAGACTTGAATAAAGAAAACCCAAAGACTCAATCCCATTGCCCAACATTGATCGCTTGATCGATTCCACGGCCGGCCACGAGATCCTCACTTTTCTCGACGTCTACTCCGGGTATAATCAAATTCAAATGAACCCAGAGGACAGGGAGAAAACTTCGTTCATCATAAAATATGGTACATATTATTATAATGTAATGCCCTTCGGGCTAAAAACGCAAGAGCTATGTATCAACGCCTAGTTAATAAGATGTTCGAACATCAAATAGGCCAATCTATAGAAGTTTACATTGATGACATGCTAGTTAAGTCCTTGCTCGCAGAAGACCATTTGACTCATTTGCAGGGAACATTCGATTTCTTTAGAAGTTACAACATGAAACTCAATCCCGAGAAATGCGCCTTCGGAGTAGGATCGGGCAAATTTTTAGGCTTCATGGTATCGAATAGGGGGGATCGAGATCAACCCCGACAAAATCAAGGCCATTGAAAAAATCACAGTGGAGAACAATGTGAAGGCCGTACAACGACTGTCTGGGTGGATAGCGGCCTTATGCCGATTCATCTCGAGATCGTCGGATCGGAGTCATCATTTCTTCTCCTTGCTAAAAAAACAGCTTTGAGTGGACTCTGGAATGCCAACATGCTTTAGAGGAATTAAAGCGAAATCTCTCGAGCCCGCCTTTGCTCCACACCCCAAAGGAAGATAAAATGTTGTACTTGTATTTGGCCGTATCCGAAGTAGCAGTAGGTGGTGTGTTGGTTCGGGAAGAACAAGGTACGCAATTCCCTATTTATTACGTAAGTCGGACTCTAGGAGATGCTGAAACGAGGTATCCACACTTAGAAAAATTAGCTCTTGCATTAATAAGTGCATCTCGAAAATTAAAACCTTATTTTCAATGCCATCGTATATATGTTTTAACGACGTACCCTCTTCGAAACATCTTGCACAAACCTGAATTATCAGGCAGATTGGCCAAATGTGCCATTGAGCTCGGAGGGTATGATATCGAGTACCAACCCGTATGGCTATCAATTCCCAAATTTTGGCAGACTTCGTGGCGGACTTTACACCTGCACTTGTGCCTGAGGTAGAGAAAGAACTCTTGCTAAAAATGGGCACATCATCGGGGGTATGGACCCTGTACACTGATGGTGGCTCGAATGTGAAAGGGTTCGGGCTTGGCATTATTCTAAAACCGCCTATGGGCGGCATGATTAGGCAATCTATAAAAACTTTGAAATTCATTAACAGCGAGGCCGAGTATGAGGCTATGATTGCTGGTCTCGGGCTGGCCAAGAGCTTAGGAGCAAAAGTCGTCGAAGCAAAATGTGATTCCCTTCTGGTAGTAAACCAAGTAAATAGGAGCTTCGAGGTTCGAGAGGACATGATTCAAAGATACTTAGACAAAATTCAGGTCATATTGCATCGCTTCAAAGAACGGACTCTGGTCCACATTCCTCGAGATCAGAATAGTGAGGCTGATGCACTCACAAACCTAGGATCATCCGTCGAGAAAGATGACATACTCCCGGGGGCTATCATGCAGTTATCCAAGTCGGTGATTGAATAAGGCCACGGAGAGATCAACTCGACAAGTCTAACATGAGACTGGAGGAATAAATACATCGACTATTTGAGAAATGGGAAGCTGCCCACAGGCCCAAAAGAATCGAGGGCCCTTCGAGCCAAAGCAACTCGATTTTCACTCGGCGAGAATGGAACACTACATAGAAGGACCTTCGACGAACCTCTGGCAATATGCTTGGGACCAGGGAACACCGATTATGTACTTTGAGAAATCCATGAGGGCACTTGTGGAAATCATTCTGGCGCCGATTCTTTGGTTCGAAAGGTGATCAGAGCAGGCTACTATTGGGACAACATGGAGAAGGACACCACAGAATTTGTTCAAAGGTGTGACAAATGCCAAAGGTTTTCGCCAATGATTCACCAACCCAGTGAACAACTATATTCAAACTTATCACCATGGTCGTTCATGAAATAGGGGATAGACATCGTCGGCCCCCCACCAACGGCACCAGGTAAAGCTAGATTTATTCTGTTTATGACTGACTATTTCTCGAAATGGGTGGAAGTACACGTCTTCAAGAAGATAAGAGAAAAAGAAGTCATTAACTTCATCTGGGACCATATGATATTCCAATTCGGGATCCCCTCCGAGATTACATGTGATAATGGGAAGCAGTTCATAGGCAGCAAAGTGACGAAATTCTTCGAAGACCATAAAATAAAGAGGATCCTATCAACGCCCTATCACCCATATGCAAATGGACAGGATGAGTCCACAAACAAGACCATCATCCAAAACTTGAAAAAGAGGTTAGAAAATGCGAAGGGAAAATGAAGAGAGGTATTGCCCGAAGTACTATGGGCATACCAAACAACTTCGAAGTCAAGCACAGGAGAGACTCCACTCTCTTTGGTATATGGGTCCGAGGCTTTAATACTGGTCGAGGTCGGAGAGCCAAGCACCAGATTTTGACATGCCACCGAGGACTCAAATAGAGAGGCCATGACTATAGCTCTCGAGCTACTAGATAAAAAGTGATAGGCTGCACTAGTCCGAATGGCCGCCCAAAAACAGAGGATCGCCCAAAAATAGAGGATCGAGAGATATTATAACATGAGAACAAACCTCCGACACTTCGGAGTCGGGGACTTGGTCCTAAGGAAAGTCACCCTCAACACTTGAAACCCAACTGAAGGGAAGCTAGGCCCAAGCTGGGAAGGACTGTACCACGTCTTCGGAGTAGTAGCAAAGGGTCCTACAAACTTGGCTACATGGAAGACGAGCAAATTCCAAGAAATTGGAACATATCGATGCTCAGACGCTATTATTGCTAAGGTATAATATGTCCCATACTAATTTCTTATAGGTGTTCTATAGGAGACGTTGAAGCACCATCCGACTCGAAAACCTTGAGTTTTAAAGCATGCGTTGCACTCTTTTTCCCTTTGATCGGGTTTTATTCCAAACAGGTTTTACCGGTGAGGTTTTTAATGAGGCACCATCCAAATGCTACCTAAGAAGAATTCATCAAGTATTCAAGGCTTCTCTTCGATCAACCTCAAATACTGGGGGGCATCACCCCGGGAGGTCACCTCTTCAAAGAAATCGAACTATGCCTAGGAGGACCTCGATAGGAGAATGTTGTATTAGACCAAACGGTCAAATGAACTGTGTCCATATAGAATAATAGAGCCTCCAAAAGCAAAAAACATGTACGCATATGTCAGGTAATTGAGGAAGCTTATTTGCTTATCAAAACACTTTGTGCTTTGAAGGAGTTCACTACTTTCTCGTAAGACGGCTCAAGGGCTAGAAACTTTCAAAACACTCAGGGACTGTCATCAATAGTCAGCTTATCGAGCCATCGAAAACTCGAATTCGTAAGATCTTGATCAGTCAACTTCGAGCTCGTAAGCCCTTAGTGAGGCGACATCAAATTTGTAAGACCTCAACGAGGCATGCCCAAACTTATAAGACCTCAATGAGGCAATACCGAGCTTATAAGAACTCAACGAGGTATACTCAAATTTATAACACCTTAAAAAGGCATAACCCTGATACTAAGGCCAAGGCTATATATTCGAACTTGTAAGACCCTTAAAAAGGCATACCCTCGATATAGACGCCGAAGTTACTGCACCCGGGGACTAAAGGCTACGGCTGAACATAAAGACTATGGTCGAACTAAAAGACTACGACCGAATTAACGCAGCTCAGAGACATTCGACTGTCGCCATAAAACTAAAGGCCTTCAAATACTTCGAAAAGACCTGGTTAATCAGGCTACCCTCGGCATAAGAAAAGGAGCTTCAATAATATCAGCTTCAAACAATAAAAAGGCTTCGAAACAATCAGCCTTCAATGAAAAGGTTTCGAAAACTCTGCCTTTGAGCAAACCCCCGAGGTACTCAGCTATCGTCACATATCGACTCATAATCGAGGTTCTCGTTTGAGCCGTCGAAGAGTCAGACGAACATAAAACATGCCAAGGCATAATCAAAGCTTCAAAAGTCTTTAGCCAAAACGAGGGAAAACAATACCCATATTAGAGGTTGCCTCGACCCAATCTAAAAGAGCCTAAGGGCCAATGCGTAAAAGCTTAAGGGCCAGCCTAAAGAGCCTAAGGGCCAATGCGCAAGAGCCTAAGGTCCAGCCTAAAGAGCCTAAGGGCCAATATGTAAGAGCCTAAGGGCCAACATAAAGAACCTAAGAGCCAATGCGTAAGCGCCTAAGGGCCAACCTAAAGAGCCTAAGGGCCGATCTAAAGAGCCTAAGGGTCAATGTGATAAAAACTTGAGGGTCGATAGCCCCGGGTCGAAATTTTACTCGAGGATAGAACCTCGAATAGTCAACCATTATCAATCATTCATCGAGCATGAAAACCTAAGAGGTTTATATTATAAGTCCAACACATCAGGCTGGTTATCAACAAACATCAAAGTTTATCCCAAAAAGGCAAAGGAAAGGCAAGAAAAGATGAAAAGCAAAGAACCTTATATATATATATATATATATATATAATAAAGGTTCACAAAGACATATTTGCGAGGCTCACGCCTGAAGCCCATACAAAAAAAAAAGGAACAAACAAAAACCTAATCTACCGTCGGTGTCACTTGACCGGACACAGCTCCCTCGGAAGTTGTGCCTTCAACAGCTTGGCCTTCGACCCCTGGAACATTGACGGCCTCCTCCCCCTCGGGGACTTCACCTTCATTTTCATCCTCGTCTGAGCCGCTGACCGAACCACTGGCTGAAACATCATCGGAAGAAAGCAAAGCTGCTGATTCTTCCTCTAGGTCGCTCACCCTATCTATTTCAGCAGACAAATCGATGCTCTATCCATGCATCTCTTCGAGAGCCTGCCTTTGAGATTCCCATCGAGCATGGTCAAGGGCTCGAGCTAGTTTGAGTCTTGCCTCAGCAGATGCTGTCTTAACCCGAGTATTTGCAGCGGCAGCATCACCCCTCTTAAAGAAGCCAAGAGGCCGACCGTAGGCTGCCTCAAATTAATGATTTTAGGAATCGTACAAAAAGCAACCCTTCAGTTCCTTTAACCCTTATGTCATGATGTTAACTTCAGGACCTAAGCATCGGGAGTCAGTTTGTCTAAAATTATTAAGAACAATATACGAGTCAGGTTCGAGTAGACATTCGCTCGACCACTAGGCCCCAAAGCTACCCGAGTTCGAGTAAGTTCTCACTCAGGGACTATTTACAAAGCCTCAAGGCTGTCTTTATTTCGAGCCCGAGCAAACGCTCACTCAACTATTAAGCCCAAAAGTTACCCGAGTTCGAGTAAGTTTTCACTCGTGGACTATTTACAAAGCCTCAGGCTATCTTTATTTCGAGTTCGAGCAAATGCTCACTCGACTACTAAGCCCAAGGGCTACCCGAGTTCGAGTAAGTTCTCGCTCGGGGACTATTTACAAAGCCTCAGGGCTATCTAATTTTGAGTTTGAGCAAATGCTCACTCGACTATTAAGCCCAAGGGCTACCCGAGTTTGAGTAAGTTCTCACTCGGGGACTATCTATAAAGCCTCAGGGCTATCTTTATATCAAATTCAAGCAGATTTTTACTCAATTAAGAGCTACCCGAGTTCGAGCAAACTATCACTCGGAGTCTATTTGTAAAAGCTTAAGGGATATCTTTATTTTCAGATGATCGAGCAAATGCTCACCTGGTTGCCAAGTCCAAAGGCTACCTGAGCTCAAGAAAACTCCCACTCGAGGGCTATCAATGAAGCCTACAAAATCTAGGTTTATTTCAAAAATCGAGACCCAGCTCTCACTCAACTCGGACTCAGAAGTCCCGGTGACCTAAGTTCGCATCAAATCAATCCAAGCTTAGTCCGAGGGACAATAAGGGACTTTAAGAAGCATCATATTAATCGATGAAAAACCTAAGGGTTTATTATGTTCCGGGTCCAGTATTCGGACTAATCATTAGAATCATATACTTGGAACTTTCACAAACGGAGGCAGAATGGAGTTCAACACAAATCAAAGGCAAAATGAAGAAATTTTTATATTAATAAAAGATGTTTACAAAGCTCACGAAGAGCCTTTACACAGGAACAAAGAAGCAAAAAACAATAGCCAAAAGGCCTAATCTACTTTCGAGGGTATATCCTTAAGAGCAATATCTTCGAGAAACTTTTCCTCGGGGACTCCATTTCGCTATTTAAAGCGGCGTTTTCGAGAACCTCCTCCAAAACAGCAATAGATGAAGAAAAGGCTATAGCCTATCAAAGAGCAAAAGCTTTTAACAAGCGAAGAAAATTGTGACCTGGTGAAAAACTTGGCAAGTATGGGTCTCGTCAGTACTACTATTGTGAAGACACTTCTTAATACATTGTATTAGTGTGGGATGCAAAAGTTAATAGATATTTCCACCTCACTCCATGGAAAGAATGAAGCGCCACACCAGGTTGAAGTTAAGAGAGATGAGCAGCGATATAAGGGCCACATATCTTCTGTACGGAAAGAACCTGGTGCCTTTCTCTCATTATTTCAGGCCAACAACAACAACAACAACA